TAAGAGTTGGAATATATTGTGACATAGTCCCAGTAACAATAACATCGACATATTTAGTATTAGGCCATAATCTAGGAATAATCCCTTTCCATGACTCTTTACTACATTCCATTTCAATAAAATCAGCAAGGTAGGGATCCGGTTTGAGTATTTTCATCACGGATTCGCGTACCATAGGGTCATTTATTTGTGGATTCAACGTTCCAGTTTTTATATCCCGACAAAGTATAGGCCAGTGTTTTTCAAGGAAACGAATAGCGCGAATAAAACCTGAAGCGAAAACCGCACCAACTCGTAAAACTTGAGTGTTTTGACAAAGACCACAAAGCATTTGGGAATACATACTTTGATATGAATCTAAACAAAGAATTGTTTCATTTGGGCTTGTGTAATTTGTGTAAGGGTCATAGGGTCTTTTTTTGAAATAAGAACTTTTATAGTAACTTGTTAAAACGGGACGTGCTAATAAACCACCTGGAGTTTTTGCTTCTGATTTGATAAATAAAAAGTACATTCCTTTGCCTTTTTGTAAATCTGGCACAAATTTATTCATTACTGGCATTAAAAGGCTGTATAATAATGACCTTCTCCCTAGCTCTTCTTCAATTGTTGGCATCAATTTCCTCTCTCCCCCAGATGTGCCAGAACTATAAATTAAAAAAAAAAACATAAATAAATAAATACAAATATGTCCAAAAAGCAATTATTGCATAGAAATGATAACTTTCTTTATATCCACACAGTGGCGAATCTAGAATGTTCAACAAAACTCAGAATAAATGAACTCATAAAACAAAAGTATACTAACCTTGTTAGGAACTCGGAAATTGGTAGAGAACAAAGGATGGATGAACGATCACCATTCGCGATACGATTGATATCGGGTTTGAGATCTTCATAAGTGACAATAGGCATGATTTTTTTGAAATTTTCATAGTCATCATTGTTGCCATTTATAATAAGACCATGCCTTTGAAAGTATTCAACACCAGAATTACGAGAAAGTATCTCATGAAGAACAGTTTTTTGAACATCATTAGGATTACTAGTGATGTCTTCGAAAAATTGAAGAAGTTTTTTATTGTTTTCATCAAAATTTCCATCAACTATTAAAGGAGCCTCTGGCATGTCTTTTTTTTTTTTTTATAATAAGATTAAAAAAAATAAAGGAAAATAATAGAGAGAGATGGAGAAAATTTTGTGGAATTATGATTGGAAGTTCTGTTGAAGAAAGAGAAATGACAGAAATATATATAGAGGATAAGTTTGGGGGGGGGGGGGGTGAACCCCCTATTGGAAACAAAGAATTCAATGAAACAGTTAAACAAAGTATAGGGTTAAAATGGTACATATCTTGTTTATATTTTCTTGACTTTTCTAACTTAGACAAAATAAAGTTCGGTGAAACGCTTTTGACTTTTAAGATTATGAGTTTGAGTTAAAAAGTAAAATAATAGGATTTTACAATTCTCGATTTACCTTTCACGGGACGATTTATAACAATATATACGTCTTGAATGAATCTATAGCTATCATATCTGATCAAAATATATCATATAGATTAAAATTATTCATATAGTGTGTACGTCATATAGATTAAAATGATCATGTACATATTCATTTAACGTGTTTTTGATATAGGCTAAAGCTAAATAACCAGAAAAATTTGCTCAAATTTCATAACTAATTTCATATTTTGAAGACAAAAAAAAAATAGGAGGAAAATGGAAGGAGAAGATGATTGGAGGGGGAAATTCCAAGTAAAGTTTAATGACTGGTTACATGGCTGCATGTACTACGGATGCTACTTGTATTACCGGCAACCCCATGCATGACATTGCTGCCTCTTCAAGACTCTTCTTTTTTCTCGTTTTTAAAAAACTTAAATATACGGTCATATCTCGTTATAACAAAGAGATTTTTATATTCGTCTTTTTGTTTCAATATATATACTCTAAGTTTTAGCTTAATTTTAGTATAGAGTTTAAAAATGAAAAAGAACAAATAAAAATGTTTCTGAACTATAAGATTTGATATAATATTTTTTTCGTGTACCTTTCACGCTAAAAATATTCTTGACGTTAATTTTTTGGTCCAAAAATATCTTACCGAGTGTTGACTGTTAGAAATAAAAGATTCTTTTGCCTAAAAGTTAATGTCAAATTATTTATTTATTTTACTTGAAAGGTAAATGAAGAATAATTTATACCGAATTTCAAAGATTAAGGACAATTTAGGCATTTTTCCAAATATTTTATTAGAGTAATTAAATTATTATTATTTTTAATAAATGATATTGTTATAAAAAAAACTTTTTAAATATATTCTTTCATTTTCTAGTGGCTTTTATATATTCCACAAAGTAAACGGAGAAAAAAAGAAATGAGAAAATTGCTTTTATTTGAAGAGTAATATATCTTCTCCGCCGACACCCTTCATAACAAATCTTCCAAGATTTTTTTGCAACTTAAAAGATAATCCACTTAAAATATTGTATTTTTATCATTTTATATACTTGAGGAAATCAGGGGGAGAAAAAAACTCAAAGTAAATTGTAATGCAATAAATTCATTGATTATAAAGAAAATATCATTAGACAACCATTTTGATTGATAAACTTGTTAGTTGCGTAAATAAAGTTTTATGTTAGACAATATAATTAAATAGAACGAAAAAATATATACAACTTTCTTAGTGGTGTGATGCTTTTTTTAAAAATTATGCGGGTGTAACACAAAAAGAATAATATTACATCATCTTAAAACGTATATTTGGATTGATTTAATTCCACATTTGATATCAAAGTCCAGATTAAGTGAAACGAATAATATGATGACATGAAGCTCGATTTAGTTCACTTTATAAGGTTAGAGACGAACATATACAAGAAAAGCTAGTTGCACGCGACTGCCATAAATACTTAGATGATATAGGTATAACACACGTTGAATCTCAAAAATTGACATAGTGATTTGTGAAAATGGGTCAAGTAAAACTTAGTTCAAAGGAGATATTGTGATAGGTGTGAACAAAGTCTCACATTACTAATTAAAAATATTGAAAAAACTACATATATATGTGTAGAATGTCATAATGATTGAGATTTTTTAAGAAAACGATGTAAATTTTATTCAAAATAAATAATACCACGTCATATTAAAAAATGAATTGATTTAACATATGTCAACAAAATTTTATCAAATTATAAATCCACATAAAAACTTTTGAATTTTTCCTTATAGCACTAAATAATTACCTAATTGATTTTCTCTTTTCATACAACTTTGTGTTCAATCATAATGGTACGATAGAAGTACTAGCCACATAACTTTAGGCAGATATTTTGGAAGAAGCAAGATGCAATTATTATAATTTATACATTTTGTACTATTGTTTTCGTACACTTAAATATCTCAGCTTAGAAACATATCATTCTTAACAAAGATTGCAAATAAAAAGAAGAAGAATTCCTAATTTTTTATTTTAATCTTTTGATAATAAATATAATACTACTAATTAAAAGCTCACCTTGAAATTTGAGAAGGTAACCATTGTTTTCAAAACTTGCACTTGAGGTTGCTTTTATTTAAGCTAGCGTTGACATTGCAATCTATATATCCAAGGAAATGATAATTGAAAAGCTAAAAAAGAAAATTAATGTGCCCTTTACACTATAACAACCATTAAATTTGTCATTAATTTAATTTAGGCATACGAATTATAATTTAAATCAATTAATAGTACTACTATATACGACAAGATATTTTTATTAAATACTTTAAGCTATTACTATTATTTAAAAATAAGTGTATGTTCTCAAATGTATGTTACGTAAATAAGTTGTAACTACGTAAAATATACCACATTCTTTCATGCACTTTAGCCTCGATTGGAATTCCATCCTAATTTTTTGAGGTTAGTGCATGTAATTAATAAAAATGATATAGTTTAAGTGGTTAACTTATCTATTTAAGAAACATATGATAACTCAAAAAAAAAGTTTAATATTTGAGTTGAAAGTATCTGATAAAATATTTTATTATGTATTCAGATATTTAATTATATACACGAATTTATATATTCACATGAAATTTATTGACAATTTTAAGTGACGGCTATTTGTTTTTTTTTGTTACACAAATCCATTAATAATTAATTGTACTAACTTGCATAGGCAAGTAACCTAGAGATACACAAAAATTTTATGTTTAAAAGGAAGGACAGAATTACAAGCTATCTATGTCAAAAGTCGTTTTAAATGTTTAATTATTTTTTGTTGATTGGTCATCATCTTTCTATATTTAATTATAATATTATTCTCTACATAAAGGTGTGTTATTTCTAGCTGTTTCAGTTGAAATATAAAATGAGTTAGTTACGGTACTCTTCAAACTTTGAAACAAGAATATTGTATATATCACACTTCCCCTTTAAAGATCTTAGTTTTTATGCTCACGTTATTTGAACATACACACCAAAATTGAGGATTAGTTGTAATCCAAATCATCAACAAATTACGACATTATGGTTAGACTTTGAAAAAATAAAATTATAATATGTATAGTTCGATGAATTAATTTGTTAATATGGTTGAAATATGCATTATATATATTATCAGTGTATATATTATGGATAGATATAAATATTTACAATTTGTATTTTTTTATTAATATATTTGTAAATTAGTTAGCCTAAGTATTTGATATTGTAATTATCCCTTAGAATTTTGCATATAAAAATTGAGGAATTTGACCACCAAAAATTATAATTTAAAGAAGAATTTGTAATTCTAAAACTTGAGTTATCATAACGTAAGGGAAAGATACAACTGAGGCAAGTCAAAATGACGGCATAATTAGGTGTTAACCACTTTGTCTAATGGACTAATGCATCATTAGTAATTAAAGTTAGTAAACTGCCCTTCTTTATTGTCTTTTTATTTATTAATTATTGATGATAATTTTGTTTTGCATAGGGATATTTTTTAAAAAAATAAAAATTAAAAATTAAAACTTTTCTTTGTTTATGATGTTATTCCTTAGGAGTCATGTTAATCTTCTATGCAGTGTTACAAATTTACCAAATGTCTCCAAAGGGACACTACTAAAAAAAAACTATTTTTCATGGAAAAATGTTTAGTGGCTACTCTTACAAATATTTTACTTAAATCAACGAGAAAAAAAAATATATAATAGTGTTTTCATAACAAAAAAATTAAAAACTTTTTTAGTATTTAAACAAAAATATGTTTTTCAGTATGTGTTTATCCATTGAATTGGTTCAATAAAAATGAATAGAAAAAAAATCATATTTTATAATATAACTTTCTAATTAATATATCGTGATTTTTTTCTTTTTAGTAATCAAACGACGATTCTCTTAAAAGCTTTTAAAAAGAGAAGAAGATTGAACTATATCGTCTAGATTAGTTCCTCCTTATATGAATATACTTTCTAATTAAGTCAATAAAATCCTTCCCTTTCGAAAGAAAAAGAAAAATAAACAAATGTGAACGAACAATTAAAAAGTACATTTGGTTAGCCAGAAATTCTGAATTTTGGTCACGTAAACTTAGGACTGGGTATTGGTTCTTGATTAGTATAATGTTGGAGAATTTAGGGACATGACTCCTACAAAACTAACAATGAGAAAAACAAAAGAATCTTTTTTTTTTTGAATAAATAAATAATCTGTTGTTAATTTTATCTATTTAGTGATGACAAAATATTTTTTTACAAAAATAATTCTACTGGATATATACATGCTATAAAGCGACATATTACAGTGCGATTACATATTATAAATTATGTTGATTACATTATTTATCTCCGTGTTTATTTTTATTTATTTATTATCTTAAAAATAACTGTTGTCTTTTTAATTTCTCTCTCAATATTAATTATTCATTTCTCAAAAAAAAAAATAGTAATTCAAAAAGTAAGACTATACATGATTAATACAAGTAGTGTTCATTATTATTCTTTAAAAGACATGGAAAGTTTAAATTAGACAAATAAAATTAGTAAATTTTACAGAAATCACATACTTTTAATAAGAAATTACAATCAATCCTTTTTTAGTTTGTAATTATATTAATTTCTTAAAAAGTAAAATAAATCGGATACATTAATATCTAGCGTAAATACATTTAAGTGTATCTCGGATACATTATAATATAAATTGGATATATAATATGTACTTCGATACATTAAAAACTATGTAGCTCGAATACATTAATATGTAGAGCATAATACATAAATTGCCCTTTAACTTGGCTTCGAATTACGTTTATGCCCTTTAACTTTGGATGTACACAAGTAGACACTTAAATTTGTATAAAGTAGAACAAATAGACACACATGTCATTTTTTGTCATACGTGATGTCCTACGTGTATTGTGTCATGTAGGACTCATGTGTTTATTTATTTAAAAGTTAAATAGTTAAAAGTGTTTGTTTGTTCATTATGAAAGTTGGAGGTCAAAGTTAAAATTTGAAGTCAAATTTAAGGTTCAATGTATGTATTATGTCTTAAAGAAATAAGAAATTTTAGAGGTTTTTAAAAATAAAAGAAATATTAAAAATAGGAGAAATATAAGAGGTGTATTCAGCAATTTTTTACATAAAAGTAAACAGAAAACATATTATTTTAAATTTCGAATTAAATGGATCATTTTTCCTATGATGATCAATATTGGTTTTTTTTTTAGATTTAATTTCTTAAAGCAAATAAAATTAATTTTTAAAAAAGCGGAAAAAAAATAAAAAAAATGGTGTGGGTGAGGTGAGAGACCAGAAGTCAAACGGAGAATGGTAGTGTTCACACATGGGTTAACTTCCGGTGTCTCCGGCAGCTGTCTCCTCCGTATTATGTTTTGTTTACGCACGTGTCGCAATATCATTTGTCCACTTGTCCTTTTCCTACTGTTCAATAATGCATTGAAGAACTTTTAATGGTAAAATTGTTCTCTTTGATTACAAATTGAAATGCATAAAACAAATAAGTAAATTAAAGACACAAAATGGAAGATAATAAGGGAGAGAAGAGGAAGAAACAACCTATGAATTTGAACTTTGGATATATGTACCTGGCAAATCTAAATATATGTATTTATCTTAAATATATCAAAAATAATTATGTGTAATTTGATTAAGATATATAATATTTAGAGGCGAATTTAGAATTTAGAGTCACTGGATGTCAAGCAGAGGCCGACCTATATGGTACCAAGCGGAGGCGGTCCCACATAATTTGATAGGGGTGCACGTGCATCCGTTAACCTCAAAAATAAATCACGAGTATATATGTATATCTATCGTGAAAAATTCAAATAAAGTAGGATATAATCAACAGTGCACCATAACAAGTGAAGGGGTGTCCTTTTTTAGTTTGGTACGAGCTACAGGAACCACTCGTGGAATTACGATTTAGTCTTATTTGTTTTAAGTTTAGCTTGTAAATCATATTTTAGCCATTAGTTACTAATCAAATACTACATTATTCGTTAATTATAGTAAAAGTTTCGTTAATTACCTAAATTAAGATAGTATTGGCGCATCAAAATCTTCAATTTTGGATTCGCCTCTAATGCTCAGTAGACTTACTGATTAAATTAATTTTAGATTAATATAGAATTATTTGTCTTGTGGCTGAATGAGAGAGCATGATTGGGCGATGAACGAAAGACAAAAGCTTTAATTAATGACAATTTTTTATTGTTCAAAAGTTTAAATGAAGAATCAGGATTTCAAGGGTGAAGAGATTTTTTTTAATCATATATTTAATCATATAAAAAAAAGTCAAAGAATTTAAATTAATTTGTTAAAAAATAATTATTGATTAATACTTAATAATGAGTTAATGAGTAAAAAAAATGTGCCTTCTGGATTATAAAGGAAACGCTACCTGCAGTTGAAAAAAAAATTGAAACAAAAAGTGTTGCTAGCTGGAATCAATCCCGGGAAGTAAACCCATCAAGTAGATAGTCTATTATTGCGCCAAAGATTACTTTTGTTCCGTGGGTGACACGTTTGTATATAAATACTTATATATAAATAGAGTTTCTGTCGAAATTCGTGGGTGGCGTAGCATCCACACGGGTCTTAATAGATCTGTCCCTGACAATATTCAAGGAGATTTATATGTATATGGCTCTTTCCTACCTCATTCACCTCTCTCCTTTTCATTTGAATTACATATTTTTTCTTAAATATATCTAGTATCTCAAATACACGTCTCAACACTACAGTATAAATAACTTTTAGCGGCATTAAATGTTGATATAATAAAGAGTGTTAAAGTTTTTACTGGCATCAGTTAAGTAAAATTGCAACCAATGTCGCTAAAGGTTTTAGGGACATATACAAAGAGTTTTAATTGTCGCTAATGATCTTCTTTGATGTTGTGCTAGTGTAATTTGCATGTATTTGAAATATACAAATTTTATCACTCGCCTTTGATCTTCTCTCTCGCTCGTCTATCTATCTCCATATGAATATGTATTTCAAAGTCAAAATTACATGTATTTAAGTGTATTTTATTTGAAATTTGATATAAAATTATTAATTAGTTAGACAATGAAACAAAACGAGTCGAATGAATTATTTTTTCTAATTAAAATTAATTAAGTTATTTTAGGTAAAATAATTCTAATCTATGAACATCTTTTTTCTCTATTATTAATTGCCTAAATTATACGTAATCTCAAATTTATAGTCACGAGTCATGACCATAAACCATATCCGATCGAGATAATTAAGTTTAGTGTCTTCCGGTAATTAATTAATTATTACTTTATCGATTTCCCTTAAACGCTGTTCACTTAGAATATAATGTTTTATATATCTTCAAGAAATTAAATAATAAAATAAACATAGGAGTATGTGCATGGAGATGTATGTGATCCAGGAAAGATTTGTAGTGTATATAATTAAGATTAGTGGAGATTAGAGAGTAACAAACTTCTTAATATACGTGTTTTCACCCCTTTTTTGATGGAGAGATTAGTGACACATAAATAAAAATACTAATTAAATCACCATAAAAGCATGGAAAAGCATGTTCTTTTTCTTCATAAAGTTTATTCTTTGTCAAACCTTGATATTGATGCACTTTTTGGAATATAATTGTAGTAATTTACATTTTACAATTCCTTGGGATCGCTGTTAAATCCTACTACTAGTAGTACTATGAAAAAAAAAAGTGTCTTTTTTGACCAAAAAATTTATTCAGATGCTTTTTTTATGTTATTTTATATTTTAAAATATTTTATCATTTCAATTTTAATATATTTTAACTAAAAATGAAAAGAAATTAGTTTATTTGAAAAAAAAAATCTTATAATTTTTTTTAATTTTTTGGTCATTTAGCACTTCTCATATATTAAATACTCAACGACTAAAGATGAACGATCATAAAATTTAGCCAGAAATTTAAAAACGTCAATGATATTTTTTCAAAAAATAAATATATCCTTTTTTATTTATTTTTTATTTAAAATGTACTTGTTGACACCCAATTTTGACCCGCATCGGTATAAGTTAGTTAGTTTTATAAATCTTGCGAAAATAAAATATATGTACATATATGTATATACATATATGTATATGTATATATGTATATCTTATTCCCAGGCCCAATTACCCCTCAACCCAACACTAACTTAATTCCTTTCAACTCAACACTGTCAAGCCCACTCCCAATTTCAGACAATTAGTTAATTTCCAAGCCCAAACTCTTAACAGCCCACTTCATTGCTTTTAAACAACAACCCAACCCAACTTAAAATTAACCCCCAGGCCCAAATCCCCTTCAGCTTTTAAAATACCCGCCCACTACATTAATTCGACCCGCCGACCCGACCCATCCCTTCTCCCCTCTTCTCCACCCCTTCCCCCACACGACCCCATTCCCAGGAAGAACAGCACCCCCCACGCGACCCCCTCCCCACGCTCTCTCCTCGCTTTCTCCCTTCCTCTCATCCCTCTCCCCGTGCTCTCTCCCTCAACCCCGCGTCTCCCCCACGCTCGCTCTCTCCTTCCCCTCTCGACAGAAATCCGGAAAAACAGACCGACTCTT